CACCTTCTGCGGCTCTCCCTACGTAACAAGGACTCACAGACTGAAACTGGGAATTAAGAAAGTCTCCCTGAAGGAGGTGACATCAGATGTCAGCCTGAAGGAGGACAGTGGCTCGCTGCAGAGTCAGTCTGACACAGAATTCCTAAGCGTGGCTGAATTATGGTGACAGTATGAACTACCCAGACGAATGCCTCCTGTTCTGTGCTGAACACAGGGGAGAGGAAGACCCCAGCGATGGTCCCCATCAGGAGTACCTAGTAGGGACTCCAGAATTACTGGACTATGGGCTTGGGCAGACAGGGAAGGTCCAAGAGGAGTTGCCCTGGAGTCCACCTCAGGATTCCTGTGAGGAGCCACAACATGAAAAGCACAGCCACACACAGAGCAGAGTGGAGGCATCTTCCACACACCCCTCAGTGCCCGCACCCTCTCCCAGAGCTGAGAGCCTCGGCAAAGCCCTACCTGAACAAACTCCAGCCGAGTCTGGGCTGAGACATGCTTATAACAGGAGGAGGGGGAGGCTCTTGTCTCCCTGAGGGACTGTCTCCACTGAAAGGGAGAAATGTATTTAGAATACACTCACTTTTCACCACTGCCACTGTCACCACCCTGCTTCTGTTATCTAATCATCATCCCTTTATAAACTCTTTTCCCTGTAAACAAGCTAGAGCAGGTTTCTCTTGTTTATAATTCAGAAGTCTAATGGATACAAATGGTAAGAATATCCCATCTGTTTGAAATTCTTCCTAAAGAATGTTTTCAAAATACAGATGAGTGAGGACGTAATGGAGGGAGAGGTTGAGATCCATGAAATTATTGCAGAAATGGGCCAGAATTGGATAAAGAACCCATCCTCCTGTGTAACAAACAGGACAGAGAAGATAATGAGTGCGCTTGCAGCAAGCACACAAGTTTGGCCACAGAAAGGTGGGAGGGTTTTGAGCATTGCTTGTCTTCTCCGTGACAGAAGGCAGGGGTCTTTTGTTGAGAGATAGGAGAGATGGAGTAGAAAGTGAGGAATGAGGTAGGTTTGATAGAAATAATACTTAGAGAGAAGGAGAGAGATTGGTGGGGAGAGAACCGTCATTCCACCTAGCTGTATTGAAGGCCCAGCTCAGGTAGGATATGATATATCCGGCACCCATACTCAGTTTTTCTTCTTCACTTGATGCTGGGAGTCCTAGTTTGGTCAGGGGAAAAACAAAAAGATGAATAGGTGAATGATCCAGTAATGGGGTTTTGACAGATGGGTGCACATTCACCTTCAGAGTCCTCCCACAGCACCACCATGCAAAGGGTACTCTGTGGACTCATGACAGTCCTCAAACTGCCTGAGAGGGAATAACTACAGAAAGTGAGGGCCGGACGTTCTATGCTTCCATCTGCTAGCACAGGCATTCTAAGGCCTCAGCGTAGACCTCCGAAACTCGAGGGATTGAAATGATAGGGCACAGTCTAGGCTGGAGAGGGAAAGAGTGAGATGGGGGTTGGTGACAGGCTAAAGAATGAGAGGAGGCAGGGGACTAGATGTTTCTGGGAGGGCTAAGAATATATGGAAAGTGGGCAGCTGACTAAGAGAGCCAAGTGCCAAGAGTTTGTCATCAAACAGCAGGGGTGACGAATTTCAAAATTTCAGAAGGTGAGTGATTTTGGGTGATGCAATCAAGAATATGGCTTTGGGGAAGGTTGGTGGAAATGAGCCTGGTGAAGGCCAGGTGGAGATGAGAGGGTAGAGAGGTTGAGAGCTCAGAGTCAAAAGGGTCATCTTCATGGGTGGCTGAAGCCATCCAGGCTGACAGCAAGACTTAAGATGGAGAAAAGGACTAAAACCTCAGTCATCAAAGAATTAGGGAGACCTCCAAGAAGTTAGCTGAAGACTGCCACCAGGGGATGACGGCTGAGCGGGGTGGGGTCAGGAAAGCAGGTCTCCCGTCTGGCTGCCTCTGCAGACTTCCCGAAAGCTCAGGTCTCCCCTGGTGGACGGGCAGAAAGCCCACTGCTTTCATCATGAGGAGAAAAGAGCACAGAGAAGAGTGGGACCCTGGCAGGGCCCAGGGGTTCCACAGGGACTTGGAGGATGATTGGAACTCTGCCCGACAGGACTTCAGTAGGACAATGATTTTGAAAGCAGATAATGGAAGAAAAACAATCCAAAGACATTGACAGAGAACAAAGAGAGCGGGGATCCTCAGGAATGTGGGGAGAGACTCTCCCTCTGAAAGGCTGTGGGAAATATGGCATTTTTAGGGAGCAGCCTGGTTTGGTCAGGTGTGAGGCAGAGGATTCCTGATGTGAGCGATTCTGTTTACTTGGAACTGGGCTTCCAGGAGGAAACAGTGGCGAGGATAAATTTCTGAGGAGGGAAGCCCGAGGGTTTCACTCGAAGGTATCTCCTTCCTCCCACCCCTCTGTAGCATGTGAGTGATTTTCTAAAAGCAAAAATAACACATTGTTTTTATTAACAAAAATCCTCTTTACTTAACAACCAGAGATTTTTAGGGCCTGTGAAAAGGCAACTTTTACCTTTGGAATCCTCCCATAGCACCACCATGCAAAGGGTACTCTGTGGGCTCATGACAGTCTGCAAACTGCCTGAGATGGAATAACTACGAAGAAAGTGAGGGCTGGGCGTGGTGGCTCACGCCTGCACGCCTAGTACTTTGGGAGGCCAAAGCCAGAGGATCTCTAGAAGTCAGGAATTTGAGACCAGCCTGAGCACCCTGTTGATATAAAACATAGAAAACTTAACCAGGTGTGGTGGCGCATGTGTGCAGTCCCAGTTGCTCAAGAGGCTGAGGGAGGAGGACCACTTGAGCCTGGGGGTTTGAGACTGCAGTGAGCTCCGATGACACTACTGCATTCCAGCTTGGGTGACTGAGCAAGATCCTATCTCAAAAATGAAAACCAAACCAAACCAAACCAAACCAACCCAGAAAATGAGAGTGAATGGTTAGATACTTCTTGAGTAATTGGCATGGTCACATTGCCTTAGCATGTACCCACTACTGTGGACCAGTTCTAAGTCATTGTGCTCTCCTGGCAAAGTGTAGGGGGCCTGGGCAGCAAACAGATGCACACAGTAGGTCTATATTACAACATATGAGACTCTAAGGTTAGTTGGTCAACTGTAAGCCAAAAGCATACAAAAATCTGAGCAAATGGAAGCATGTATTTATTTTTCTGACTGTTACTTTTACCATCACATTAATTCTATTTGAGTTTTTTAAAAAAACTTATAATTCAACATTATTATCTAAGATGAGAATGTAAAATTTGTCTTCTTTATTTGTTAGCCAGAATTTACAGATTATAAAACAAGCCCCACTGATAATTTTTGGTCAAGAAATTAACGTTATCGGGCGGTGCCTGTGGCTCTGGCCCCATATGCCAGAGGCGGTGAGTTCAAACCCAGCCCTGGCCAAAAACTGCAAAAAAAAAGAAAGAAAGAAAGAAAAGAAATTAACGTTATCATCTTCCTTCCCCACTAGCATCTCTTTCTGAGACTGGTGTCTGTATCTTGAGTATTAGTAAAAGAAAACAAATTTAGGCGTTATCCCCTGCAGATTGCACTATTGTCGATCTGAGCTAGCTAAGTTAAAAGAATACATCCTGATTTATCATATTCAAAACTTTAATATTGATATACACAGTCTTCATTGGAAGTGAGGGCATGTATTTAAATAGAAAATCACTACTTCGTTGTAACTTTCAGTTACGACTGCAGAATGACAGCAGTTGAATACGATAATGAGTCTTCATACTGAATGCTTTATGCACACTTTCAAGGCATAGTATGGAATGTCTATACTGTCTTCAGAATTCTTTTATTTTTTCCTAGGTTTGTTTTTATATTTTTGAAATATAATTTAATGCCTGTCAAATCTCATATTTTAAAAGTTGGCCTTGCATTTTGTATTTTCTTGGTTTGTATTTTTTCTTGTAATTCTTTGTTATTGAATTTTACAAAAATGTTAGCCCGTGGCAGATTGATAAGAGTTGAAAAACAAACTAGTCTTTTACCATCAAGGGTTGAGAAGTACCCCCTATTAGTCTGAAAAGTCCCAGAGGCTTGGCTGGCTCTTGACACCTGTCTAAGCTGTCCTTCTCAATCCTGGGCATGGTCTTGCCAAGTCTGGACTCCAGCCTTGAGAGGACAGCCATGAGGGGCGTTGGGAACCTCCCTGAGGGTGCAGGTGCCTACACACCTAGTTCCTGAGTCAGGCCACTCTACTTTCTTTGAGGGGTCAGTGCCACAGTTTCCACAGAACTTCAGAACACTGAGCACAGGATACAACTGCTTTCCCAGTCATAGGCTGGTAGCCCAAAGGTGGCAGCAGCCACCATTGGCTTGGAGTCCAGCAACTAGGAGAGTTGAGTTGAGTACTGCTGCTGCTACTCTGGGCCTTTAGTGTCAGAGGTGACTAACAGAAGCCTTCAGGAAGAATGATGAGTTTATGTATTTGAGACCATGGGAGAACACAACACTGTTCTATTCTTTCTTTTCTGAAAAGATGTGCTGAAGCCTTTGCCTGCTGCTTGGAAATTTCCTCTGCCCAGAGCCTCCTAGTGCTGCCAGCTGCCTAGCCCCTGGAAACTCTGCTGAATCCTGCCCCATCCTGCCTGCAGTGGACCCCAGGTTGCTTTCTTGCTTCCTTTCCCTGGATCTGTCACGGACTTACAGGCATTGCCGAGCCACGATCCTTATGGTTCCTGAGGTTGCTGGTCTCAACTAAAGGACATGGCTTCCCTCCCTGGTTTTCAGTTCTGTTTGCAGGACTTCAGGGCAGCCTGAACCTTGGGCATTTAGCACAATGAATACCCCAGTACTCCTGAGCAAGCACTTCCTTTAATCCTGGATTCAATCACTGTGCTGTGGCTTTGTAGGACTTAAGAGATACAGGCTAACTATTAAGGAAAAAGAGGGGCGAAAAGTCTGTGACTCACTTTCAGAGGTCTCCAGAAAAAAAGCAAAGAAGAATTTTTTTAAAGAAAGATCTATTGTGCTCACTTTGGCAGCACATGTACTAAAATTAGAACACTACAGAGAAGATGAGCATGGCCCCTACACGAGGATGATGCGTAAATTCGTAAAAGAAAAATCTGTTTAAAAGGAATGAGTTAAAGGGCTGTGCCTGTGGCTCAAGGAGTAGGGCACCAGCCCCATATGCCAGAGGTGGTGGGTTCAAACCAGCCTCGGCCAAAAACTGCAAAACAAAATAAAAATTAAAAAAAAAATGAGTTAATTTCAAAAGGTGGAAAGTTCCCTAATAATCCAGAGTATGCTGTGTAAATTATTTTTTTAATGCCTTCCTGCTTCCTGGGTGTGGCAGGAGGATATGCAAGGTGGTTTCCTCCCCATTCTGTGCTGAATCTCTTCATTCTCACCCCAAGCCTGTGGGCATGCTGCCCTTCCCGCCTGGAAGCCTCACTCCAGTTCACCTGAGAACACAGACCATGCTGCGACTCCCTCCAGTGGTTCCCACTCCCCGGCAGAAGGTCTCCTTCCACCATAACCATGACCACTTCCACTGCCCCCACTGACTGAGGCCCTCTAGGAGGCTGGGACTGTGTTAGGTCCTCTCTGGATCCCCAGAGCAGAGACTGAACTCTAACATCTTGAAAGGAAGAGAGGGAGGGATCAGGTTCAGGCCAGAAGATGGCTCGACCTAAAAATCTTTGGGGGTCTGGCATTGCACCACCATCACCACCCCCACCCCCCACCCCCAGCCACTGCAGCCTCAAGAACCCACTGAAGATCCAGAAAGGATGCCAGACTCCTGGTCGTGAGGAGGAGCTCTGGAATGTGAGAGCCGCCTTCTTCCTGGGCATTTCCTACCAACTTGCATCCTGGACAACTCTTTATAGTGACAATGTTGTAGGGCTCTAGAAGGCACGGTTGCCTGACCTGAATTGCAGTCCTGGGAAAAGCAGATCCACCTGACCTTGTAACTGGATTAGCAGGTTTAGCCCCTTCAGCTCTTCTGCTGTCTCCAAGCGCCCTCTACTGGCCACAGACAAATAAATCCTCCTCGGATATGATGTTTCGGAGTCCTAAGCTCAGTACAAAAAATTAATTTTATTTTGTATTAAATCTTAATTGAATCCCTATTATGAGCTCCCAACCAATGCAGGTAAGTCAGAATTACTTTCTCTCTCCACCAACTTCTCCCCAGGTGGCATCTAAGTTCTGGGTGCCCACACTAGCTAGAGCGGTAGGGGAGACCAGTGTCCATTTCCTTTGCTTTGTGACAGTGCCTGGTCCTGAGTATACCTGCCTCCCTGCTCCCAGGCAATGTGTGGAAGTGATTACTACATCTGCGCAGGGCCAGGTACTTCAGGATCTCCTCAGACTTCTCCACTGAAACAGCCCCCCAACCTCCCAATCCCCCAGCCCCCCCGCAGCCATTTCTACCTCCTCACTGACCTGGTGTGGTCGCTGCCCCATGCTGGGGATAAGTTGCTGGGAAGGGGCCTGGAACATCCCTGCTTCCCCCAGCCGCCCTGGAAAATGAGCTCATATGGCCTTGGATGCCCAGGCTGATCCAGAGCTTCTACCATAACTTTGTCTTAGACCACAGACAGGAAAAGGTGAAGGGCTCCCACACTGGTCCAGTGTTGGAATCTCTCCCCAGCTCCCTCTGCCTGGAGAACCTTTATCCTGTCCTCATCCGCTGTGTTTGGCAAACAGAAGTAGCAGAGGAGCAGTTAGCAGTAAAAAGAAAAACTGGCTGAGCAGGTTTTCACTCCAAAGCTTTTGCTCTTATGCCAGAAAACCTGTACACAACTTTTTCTTTACTCACAATTGAAAACCAAGAATTTGATGTCTTTGTTTTTTGGTTTTGTCAACTCCACTTTTGAGAACCCCCCCCCCACCTTTTAGGCCATTAATGTCCTTTGGTTGAACTCCTGGGTCTAGGGCAGTGGTTCTCAACCTTCCTAGTGCCGCCATGTATCTTCATTGCTAAAAAGGGGTCGCGACCCACAGGTTGAGAACCAGTGGTCTAGGGAGAGGGCTCAGGATACACTCAGCACAGAACAGGGAAGAAGCACCCAACCACCTTGAACATCCTCCTGCCACAAGAAAGCGTGTTATAGCCCACAACATGTGTGTGACTATGGTGCTTCCTACCTTCTGAGAAATTTTTTTTTTAACCTTTCTTAAAAAAAAAAACTCTTATTCTTCCCTTTTTCTGAAAACTTTTGTCAATGGAAAAGAAGCCATACTCAGTAAAATAATTTAAGGAGGTTTATTCTGACCCAAATTTGAGGACCACGAGCTGGATCCACACGCAAGAAGCCTTGAGCATGTGGAGTTGCAGTGGTGGGGTGACAGTTTGGTTTTACACATTTAGGGAGACAGGGATTACAGGTGAGCTCATAAATCAATATGTGGAAAACTTACATTGGTTTGGCCCCAAAAGGTGGGACATCTGCAAGTGGAGGAGGAGCTTATAGGTGATAGGCGTGTTTTAAAGATTCTTTAGCTAACTATTGGCAGAAAGAGTTAGGCTTTGTCTAAAAGACTGGGAGTCAGTGAAAAGGAAGAGGGTCTGTTAATTAGAGCGAATGGTTTGTTGTGTATATTGAGGACCTGCAGGTAGGTCTTGCAGAGCCTTAGGCCTGTTAGTGAGTCACAAAGGACATCTCTAAGGAGGGAGGAGGCATGTCAGATCTCCTCTTTCATGGCTAGCAACTCAGTTTTAGGGCCCCTAAAACTGACAGCACCCCTGCTTCTGGGTATACCTGCCTCCCTGCTCCCGGGCAATGTGTGGAAGTGATTTCCACATCTGTCCAGGGCCAGGTACTTCAGGATCTCCTCAGACTTCTCCACTAAACCCCCACCTCCACCCCCTGCAGCTATTTCTACTTCCTCACTGCCCTGGTGTGGTCTCTGCCCCATGCTGGGCCAAGACAAGGTCCAGTCAGCCACTTAGGGGGAGCCTTAAGATTTTATTTTAGTTCACACCTTGTAAATAATTTGTGGACATCAATCCCCTTTATCTTAACCCTTTAGCAGACATCTCTAGGAAATAGTGAAGTTGCCCTCTTTAAAATAAATAAATGGCCACCAAGTGGGAACTGCGGCAGGAGAAACCAGCCATTGTTCTCTAGCTTGCTTTCTTAGACTTGCTCACCGCTCAGGGGTCACACAGCTGATGATCGTGAAGATTCTTAGCTTTCTTCATTGCTCCTATAGATAATATCACCCTGTGAAACCTAAGGCTTGGATTCAGGTGGAGTGGCTGACCCACCCAGACCACTGGCGCATACCAAGAAACTGACTCAAGTGGTCTTGCAACCCCCACCCAGGAACTCATTTATAGAGACAATTTCTTTGTTTTGTTTTTTTTGTTTTTTTTTTTGAGACAGAGTCTTACTTTGTTGCCCTTGGTAGAGTGCTGTGGTATCACAGCTCACAGCAACCTTCAGTTCTTGGGCTTAGGCAATTCTCTTGCCTCAGCCTCCCGAATAGCTGGGACTACAAGCGCCCACCACAGAGCTCAGCTATTTTCTTTGTTGCAGTTTGGCTGGGGCCAGGTTGGAACCTGTCACCCTCAGTACATGGGGCCAGTGTCCTACTCACTGAGCCACAGGTGCCACTGCCAAGAGACAATTTCTATACCCCTATGATTTCACCCCAAACTCAGCCAATCAGCAGACCCAATTGCCTAACCCCCTGCCCACCAAACTACCTTGAAAAACTCTTTATCCCAAATTCTCGGGGAGACAGATTTGAGAATTTCTTCCCCTCTCTTCATATGCTGTCCGTGACATTAAGCTTTCTAGCTGCAACCCCTGCTGTCTCAGTCTCCGGGTTCCCCTGAACAGCAGGCTGTGAGCCTGGTAAGGCTGTAACAATAGGACATGCTCTTACATATCTACAACTATTGAATTCAGGAAATTTCGTATCAATACAATTTAAAAACCATATGCTCTGGCTAGGTGCGGTGGCTCACCTAGCACTCTGGGGGGCCAAGGTGGGAGGATGGCTTGAGCTCAGGAATTTGAGACCAGCCTGAGCAAGAGCAAGATCTCATCTCTACAAAAAAAAAAAAAATATTAGCCAGGCGTGGTGGTGGGCACCTATAGTCCTAGCTACTCAGGAGGTTGAGGCAAAGAGGTTTGCTTGAGCCCAACCTCATAAGTTGAGGTTGCTATGAGCTAGGCCATGGCACTCTACCCAGGGTGACAGAGTGAGACTATCTCAAAAAAAAAAAATATGTTCGATATTCAAATTTTCCCAGTTGTTCCAATATTGTCTTGTATGGCCTCTTTTCTGGCCCACTGTCCAATTCAAATCATGAATTGCTTTAGTTGTCTTGCCTCTTTCCCCCGCTTAATCCAGAACAGCTCCTCAGTCTTTCATGACACTGACTTTCTTTTTAAGGAGACAGGTACCTTGTTTCATAAATTTCCCTCCATGTGTCAACCTCATGATTCGGGCCTTACATTTGTGGCAGGAACAGCACAGGACATGTGTGTCCTTCCTGCATCACACCCCTGAAGCCTGACATCAGTTTGCCCATTTGGGGTAATTAAATTTCATGACTTGTCTGAAGTGGCCTTGCCACGGAGTTGTCCACCACAAAGACAACTTCCCCCCTTTGTAAATTAATAAGCATTCTGGGGGGGATAACAGTATGTGTAAATATTCTGCTGACAAACTCTTACCCAATCGTCTCAGCATCCTTTGTGGTCTGAATTAGTTATTATTAGTGTTATGGTTGCAAAATGGTGTCTTTTTCTAGTTCTATTGTCCCTTTTATATTTATCACGTACCATTCTACTACAAGGAAGAGCTTAAAGGAATGCCTTCTAGGATCCTTTTTTCATTCCTCCTCCACAACTTTCCCCTCTGCTTGGAATGCCTTCCCGACCAGGCAAACCCTGCCCTTCCTTAAAGCTCAGATCCAGGGTTACCTTGCCTCAACACCTCCCCTGCCCCACTTGGGCAAATAAGATTGCCCACTATTTCTCTCTTCCCTTCAAACTAGGTGGGCTGTAGCTGTCTGGGCTGCTCAGAGCTCCTGACACAAGGAAAGGCTGGGAAGGGAATTCTACCCCTTCCATGGCAGAACTCCCGTCCAATCTTCACCCGGTCACCTGCTGTGGTTTTCAAATTGTAGTACCCACCAGAATCACCAGGAGAGCTTGCTAAAGCACAGGTACCTGGGCCCTACCCCCCAGGGATTCTAATGCTCTACTCAAAAACCTCACTGGCTTACCAACAAATGCTTATTTCTCCTTCAGATTACATCAAATATAGATTGGTAGGGAGTTCTGGTCCACACACTCAGAGACTCCATTTCAATATGAGGATTCCTGGCCTAACATGCCCAAAAACAGGAGCATGGAGAACCTTGCATGGATTCTTCTCTGCTCGTGGCCCAGTGGCCTGAAGTACGCAGTGCTGAAAAGTGAGGGAGATCTTCAGGTTCCGATTGGAAAGTTGTCTAAGGCCTGGTATTATATTGAAAGACAAAGGCTATAATTGTATATAAAGTATATATAAAGGGTATATAAAAAGAAAATACAAATCAGAATACCAGTGTGGTTTCCATCATTTGAACTTATTTTATTGATACTCATTAGCGAATAAAATTTTACTGTTGATTTTTGATGCATTACAACACACTTTTGGTAGTGGTTGCACAGGTTGGTCATTTATTACTATGCTAAATACGGCAACCTCCGAATTGCTGATTTTTACATGGTATTTCTGGTGATAAGTGGCTCCTCTCTCTGAAGACATAAAGTGGTCCATTCAGTCCATAGTTTTCCTATTCCTTTGTTATTCTACTTACTGTTTTGAAATACATTCAAATAAAAAGATATAAGTTACTCGCAGTGAGCGCACACATACAACAGCAAGGAGAATCGAGAACATAATTAACCAACACTCTTTTGTTTTTAGAGAATAAATAGGTTTGAAATAGTGGGACTGAAGCCTGCTCCTTGGGGACTTTCTCACAGTATCCTTGGTGGACACGGAGTTATCCTCAGCTAACTGAAGGGCACATCTTCTGCAGGGCAGAGGACACAATGACAGTTTCAGTTACACAGGATGTTTTCCTTCTGTGAATGTCTGGAACAAGGGGTCGTGGACCACCAGGATGTAAAGTGCAGTCCTCAGATTAGAATAAATAAATTAAATGCTTGGATTGGAATGCCACAGACACACGATGTCTGGAGCTGGAAGGAGAGAGGATGTTTGTTTAAAATACAGCACACACAGATAATAAATAAGAGTTTAAAACTTAATCAGTGACAGCAACAGGATCAGGCTCCCTTGTTTGTTTGTGGTTCTTTTCGCAAGCACCTCTGTCTTTTCCTAAGGATAAAAAGTAGTACAAGGAGATAAAAGGCTTGGAGAGGGGGCTTGGGAGGGGAGAAAAAAATATTGTTGTGACCCTTGCGACCATTCACTGTTCTGAAACCAGAGGGCAACACGTGGCCAGTCACTGGCTGCCACAAAAGACTGTGCAGCAAAAGCCCACGGGCCGTCCCTGAATTCCAGAGAAGGGGCGGGAGCCAGCAGCACGCCAGGTCTTACTTCTCCCTGGAACCAGCCGAGGATTTCATCTGCATGTAGTTCTTCCCCTTTACTTTTACTATTGACAAATTTGAGAAGCTTTTTCCCTACGCTCTTTCCTTTTAATCCTATTGCTGAAGTTGTCTTGGGTCTGGTCTTAAATCAATTTGGTTGTGACACTGAGTCCCAGAAGTAAGTTGCTATCTCAGGAGCAGCGTGGTGTGTTTGAAACTTATATTTCGGTGTCATAGAACCATATAGAACACATACATTACCAGTACCATTACTTCCCTGCATATAAAAAAAAATGGAAAAATAAAACAAATTACACAGAACATGGAAGGGGCTGCTGAACAAATGCAGCAGGAGTGTAAATACATTCTCTCTCAGGTCAGACGCGTGGCCTGACAGCTGATTATAGAACACAGGATGACTTCAAGTTGAAGGCATGAAAAGAACAGGTCACACCTCACAAAAGAAACGACTGTCCTTTGAGGCAGAGTAGTGAAGGTCTTGAAGAAGCTGGGCCACCCATGAAAGAAAAAAGCTCTCCGATATGAACGCTACATCAGCGGCAGGTGGCTGAGGACGGAGGCTCCTTACGCTCTCACAGGGTGGGCGAGACAGGGTGTCGGACGACACCCAGACGCATTATGACCCGAGCCCTGACAGCTCATTGTGTGTGACACAGGTGGTCAACGACGGGATTCACTGGTTTCCTATCCATGGGATAAGAACACACTTGGGAGTTTCAGTGCTTCTCAAAAGGAAAGAAGAAAAGGACCCCCTACCCCCGGGTGAGCAGAGGCAGAGTCCTCATGAGAGTGATGCCAGCACAGGGGTGCTTCCTGTGGGATCTGAAGAAAGAGCAGGGCAGAAATGAGGTCCCCAAGTCCTATATACACATTTTACAGAGTTTTCACTCTTCCTCTATTAGGCACGAGGTTGATTTGTGTAGTTCAGGAGGGGATGGGCAGAGGAGAGAAGAGGGAGACAGCGCACTGGAGGGGAAGAGGGGGTGGGGTACAAGATGGGAGAGTGCTGGTCTCCTCTAGGGCAACAAGCCCCCCCATCCTCACCGTAAGCTAGTTTGTTTGGGGAGCTTAGCACCCATCAAGATGCCCGAGGTGAGAGTCACAGGGGCTTTCATCTGCATGCTGGACCCCACCATGGTGGGGAAGCTGCGATTCCGTCGGATACCGCTGCTGAGCTGCAGCCCGCCGATGGCACTAGTGACCGTGGGGCATCCAAGAGGCAGGCTCTCGGGTACCAGGCCTCCAGGGACAAGGGCTTGTGCGGGCCCCGGGGGCCCACAGAGGAGAGGTCCTGGCTCCTCAGTCAATGTGGGGACATGGGGTCGCCCTGAGTTCATCACTTTGGCCACCCCAAACCGCCTGACTTTGTCCACGAGGTTGAGGTTGGAGACAGACACGTCTGTCTGGCTCTCACTGCTGCGGACGTTCTTCTTCTCCCTCACCTCCCTCAGGATGGAGCTTGCCGGCTTGGAGGCCAGGAAGTTGTCATAGGGAGGGCTTGTGCACTTGAACTCAAAGGAGGGCGGGGAGGATGTGGGCGTCTGCATAGGCGAGTTTGGCGGGGTGGAGGGGATCACAGCCATCCTGGGAGCGTAGGAGTGCAGGAGGGAACCCCGGCCGGCCCTGTCCCAGCTCTGAGGGTCATAAACAGCCGCAGAAATGCCCCGCTCTTTCAACAGCCACACAAGCCCTAGGGATGTGCTCATGGTGGTCGTGGACTCACGGATATTAGTGAAGGATTCAGCCAGGCTCAGTCTCCGTGGAGTGCACGGTGTGGCCACCGGCGTGGATTTCAAGTGGCTACCATTGCCACAAGCTGGAGTTGGGGCTGAGTTAAGGCTAAAAAGAAGACACAACAAATTATTCATCAGAAATGTACACAAACACCATAGAAAGAGTCAGTGCCCAGTCTCCTGCAGAGGATGCACGGCAGGCCTGGGACAAAATGAGGGGACACTTCCAGCTGAGGTCCCCACAGATGCCTCTATTCATGCCTGCTCTTCCCTTTCACTCAGGGAGGCCTTGGATTCCCTTAAATGGGGATGTGGTTTAAGATAACCTGGCAGGTGGGTATAACTATTCCCTTTGCAGACAGAGAAACACATTCAAAGCTTAGTTGGTTTCCTCAGTGACACATCTGGCTATTAAGTGGACAGCCTTAAATTCAAAAGCAAGTCCGAATGACCCCAAGGCTATCAGAGAGTAGGGAGAGACGGCTTTCAGCAAAGATTTCTTTCCTTACAAAAGTTTCCTAAATTCCTAACACCTACTTCTCCCTGAGGCCAGACACCAACCAGGACTAAGGGATTTGAGAAATTCCTTATTTTAAGAATGGCAAAAAGGCCACAGTGGGGGCGGGGGGCCAAGGCCAGGGGGAACACATCGAGTCAGAGTCCTCCTGACTCCCGGCACAGTGCTGCTTCCTCTGTGCTGTGCTGCCCTGAATCCTCTTCATGCACTCATCCAAATCCATTTTGCCCCATGGAGTTATGGGGTCACGGAGGGCAAGTCACGTGCCAGCAGATCCATATCTACAGTGCCACTTAGACGAAAGCCTGCTGAAGTGTGTGAGACCTCGGTCACCAAAGGAAGGCAGAGAGATCTGTTCCTTCACTGCTGGTGCCAACTAAGGACCCACTAGGTCCCAACAGCTGGGATCCAGTTTTGAAGGCCAAAAGGACAGAAAAATTCACCAGAACATATTGCTGTTTGCTGAAAAAACAGGAAAGATTCTCCTTTAATAGCTGCTATGGCGATCAGGGGAGGCCAAATAGGCTAGACAACCTGCCCTGCTTCTAAATGAGCATCCCGGGGCAAAGACACAAATACATCCTAACAGTCTTATGGGACCCACCCTGGTGCTGGCTGGGGATTTGGCTGGGGCTGCCAGCACCCCTTGGAGCAGGTCAACTAGGTAGTTCCCAGGAGCTGGACCAGAACCTCTCTCCCCAGACTGGCAGCATCCCAGATGCTTTGGATAAAGCACCAAATGGGGGAAAGGAAAGGTAGAGGGCCCATCCTGGAGCAGGGGTGCCCTCCTATGGGAAGACAGTTCAAAAGCAAGTATAAGCCAGAGGTACCATTTGGCTCTGCACTCAGTGGACCTCACCACTGGCCAGGGGGGTAGGACCACAGAAGAGACCCTTCTCACACAAGCTCAGGAGTGGGGATGCTGGCAGGTTGAGAGCACTCATAGAAGCATGAGATTAGAAACCAAAGCAGATTCCTAAGGTTAAAAGTGTAGATTTTTTAAAAGGCACAGGTGGAATTGTATAAATGTTGACATATAGAGGGCTAAATGTTCTAGACTTAAAATCTTTTTTTTCTCTTAACAATTTTTTTATTAA